ATCGCATAAAAAGGTAAACAAAATTTGTTTAAAAAAAATGTAAACAAAACTTCTTGAGGCGGAATGTACTTTTGTATTTCGTTACCCCTTTTTTTATCTGTACGGCATTGACATCAGCATTGAATATTACATGATAATATATTGTTAAAAATATGGTACGCATATGATTTGAATATTAATTTTTTTACTCTTTTACTTACGAAAATTTGGCCACTAGACCAATTTTGTAATGTAGAAATCGAAAGAATAGCTGTTTTCATTTTTTGAATAAGAAAAATTGCCCAGAATTTCCAATTGCTCGTAATAAATAAAACTGTAATTAAATAAATTCTTTGTGTGACAATTTTAAATAATAGAGCAACATATTGAAATTTGAAATATGACTGCAGCTTGAAAAAATTCCAAATCAAAGGTCAACATATAAAAATTCAAAATTAGAGAGCAACAGTGTAAATTTCGGAAACAAACTGCAACATGAGCTATGTTGCACATTGATTCTCAATGTCTTACTGTTGCTCTTTAATTTCTAGATCTTATATGTTGACCTTTGATTTACATTCCAATTCGTGTTCGATTTTTTCTCAAGTTTTCTGAGGGTATTTTTATTTCGCAACGGTTCATATATTCTATTGTATGTATGTATTGTATTGTATGTATATGTATTGTATTGTATGTATATGTATTGTATTGTATATATGTACATTGTACATGATAAGAGACGATTTGAATAAACACTTTATGATTGAACACTAAACCTAACGGTTGGAATATTATTACAGCGACTCAGCTCCAGATGGCGATTCAGACGGCGAGCTCGCGGTAGCTGGTGGTGATGCTCCAATTGACGGTAAATTCTTTGGTTTTTTCATCGTTGTCCCCATTTCAGCTGATCCCCCCTCTTCTATTTTCTCTTAGGTGGTGAAATCTCTGATCATTTCGGTTTTAATTTGGGCGGTGAGTTTTCGCCAGCCGGTTTAGGCATACCAGCTGAAGGTAAGTTCTTTGGCGTTTGATTTTTTGGCATTGCTTTACTGATTTCTTTTTTCTTTCTTTTGTTATAGATGGTCCCGATGTGAGCTCAACCAGTTCTCCCAGTGGTGACGACAACAAGGAAAATGTTATCGCTGGTGCCGAGCCATGTAAATGTTTTTTTTTTTGTTTTTCTTGTGGTTGTTTTGCGCATTTTTTCTTCTTTTTCTCAATTTCATGTATTCTCTTTTTTATTGTTTTAGTAGTTCCGGTTGATGGTCGTCATCCCTTGGCCAATGTAAATGAAATTGTTGCGTCGCAGCCCGCCGCCTTGGTGATGGCATTTTGACATTTTGACTCTTATGTAAAAAAAGAATGATGGCCGCTTCGATGTCTCATTAGTGCATTAGTTTACGTTTTATATAGGTACGTGTTTGTGTTCTGCTACAAGTTTATGTTAATTAAAGGTAAAAAAATGAGGTGAGTTTCCGTGCATTTTATATTTTCCGTCGTTATTTCTTCTGTTGTTGTTTTCGTCGTGATAATTTGTGTCTGTTTATTTATGCATCAATTTATATGTTTTGTTTTATTTTTTCTTCAGTGGTGTTTAGTGTTTCACGGTTGTTGGTATCCTTGGTGTCGATGGTATTGTTCGCGATGTTTCGATTCCATTGTTCGTCTTGTAGACTGGGATGGTGCCGTTTTATTCTGTAAGTTTTTTTGTATGTACGGGTGTGTTTGTTTTGGTTCGCTTTTGTTCCTCATAATTGATTTGTTTTGTGTTTCTTTTTTTTTCTTTTCTTTAGCGTGTTTGAAGTGTCATACCGGCGTTGACGATTCTGGGTTAGCTGATAATGAACGAGTTGCCGGTGGTGATCTCGAGCCCGTTGTAGGTGAGAGGCTGTCGGTGAGTTTTTTTTCTCGTCTCTTACTTCTTTTGTGTGTCATCATCTCAATTTTTTGTTCTGTGTTTTTAGTTGACACCACGCTGGTTGTTGATGCAGTTAATTATGATCCCGGTGACGGTACTAGTACCGGTATTGTCCGTCGTCGTTCGCCGGTAGTGGGCGTGCCGATTCCGACTCCGATGATGCCGTTGAAGCCCAGTTCGACTGCTTTGTGAGCCGGTGCGCAGAAACGTCGGCGAAATCATTTTGGGCATTTGGATCCTGCTTTGGTTGACGAGCCCAGAGGCTCCCGACGTGGAGACCGCCATCCAAGGCTTGGTGAGTTTTTTGACACAATTTGTTCTCTCTTATTAGTTTTTTGTTTGTTTTTTATTAACTCCAATTTGTTGTTGTAATTTCTTCTCTTTTCAGCCTTCAAGAAACAGTTCAAAGCCCATTGCGAAGCGATGTACGAGTCGCATCAAGTCGGTGTGCGGCGTAGCCGTTTAGCCGTGAAGCATTTGGCTGCTCGCAAACTTGCTGAAACCGCTGCTGCTTCGCAAGTTGCTGAGGATGCGGCTTTGGCTGAATTGACGATGATCAATAATGGTTTGGGTAAATGCTTCCCGTATTTTCTCATTGATTTATTTTTTATTAATTTAATTTGTTTTGTTCTCGTTTCATTTTTTAGAATTTCTGCTTGCACGAGATGATCGAACTGAAATGCGTGCTTTTTTCAGGGCGGAAAATGTCGATCCGGCTGTATTGAGCAATGCGATGATTCTTGCTGCTGATCCCAAGGCTGGTGGTTTCTGGCGAGAAGTTGACCGCTATTGGGGAATGATTCTTCATTGTCAGCGTAATAATGTTTCACTTGATGTCGCCGCACCATTATATGGCCTTGATAATGGTGTCACTCCGATCAGTCAGTGGTTGGAGCGTGAAGTGTTGGGCTCATTGCGGTTCGACCTGATGGACAGCTATATGCTAAGTGACTGGATTCGGGCCGCTGGTCGAACTCCCGGCGTTGAGGATGCCGATCGTAAGGATCCTGGGCCCTCGAACCGCAAGAAGAAACCGAAGTCGAAACGCGGGCGTCGTATGTAGTTTATTGAAATATGAATAAATCAATTATATTTTGTTCTTATCTTTAATCGCTTGTGTTTTTTTTGTTTGTCTGTTCCCCTGTTGAACTTATTTGTTGGGTTTGTGTGGTGTATCGGTGTCTGTTGTTGTGTTAGCCTGTGGTCCGTTTGCGTGTTCGGGTTGAATCAGTTAGTTGATGCCCCTACTCGCTATATTCTTCGTTGCTGTCGCTGTGTTGACGCTCCGTTTGTTTTGGTTTGGTTTTTGGTTTGGGTGTTTTGGGAAAGAACAATGCCAAAAAGTGAGCCAGCTGTCATTGCTTGCAAATTTGTCAAACCCTGCGGCTATCATAACAAAACAACGTACGTTTAATTCACGATAGAAGGATTCACCCGAAAAATCAAATGATATAAATATAAAAATTATTTTATTTTATTTTTATTATTCCAATTATTTTGAATGATTTATACTCTTTTTGTATTATCATCGTTTTTAATATTTCCATTTCAATTTATTTAATTCTTATTTACGATCATACATGCGATGCAAATGTGCCGTTTGAGAGTTAAACGCACTCTGCTCAGTTATGACAAATGTAGGGTTAGACAAACTCTCAGTCAAAAACTGCTGGCTCACTCGCTATATGAAAAATTGGTGGCGTTATTTTCGGTTCTCTCTCCCAATTCTTAATAATTGTCTGGTCTTTCTATTTGATGTTTTCGTGACTTTTGGTGCTTTTTTGGTTTCCTGCACATCTATTTGCAGAATAACATGAGGCGGCCGCATTTGTACAGTATTACAAGTGTTGCCGCTACACACACAACTGCCAATGCGGTATGTTGTATTACAACAACAAATCTATGTTAAAAAAATGCCTTGTTCCGCTTTGATATAACAACCATTCAGTACGTTGTTTTTATTCTAGAGCGTTCAATTCTGGCTGCGGGTAATTACGTAGCGTTTTTCGAACAACGTAAATCGAACCATGATCCATGTGTATGTGCCTTGAATAAACTTGCGTAACTGGGCCTCTATGCCGGTGTCTCGAATACTTACGGGTTGGCTCTCCAATCATTCGGCGGCTTCATGCCGTGTAAATTTCCATTCGTATATTGTCGCCCAAGGCAACTCATTTTCGTCTTGTTTTTGTTGTTTTGGTGCTGTGCTTTCTTCTTCGTCTTCCTGATCGGGTTCGTTGCGTGTGTGTATTGACTTTGTTGCGCTTAACACGTCGGAGCTCAGGTTAGTGTGAGTTATGGTCGATGTCGGATTAGCGACTACTGTTGGCATCAAAGCCGTTTCGATGTCTAAAAGGTGGCCTGTTCCAATGTTTTGGGCTTGATCCGCTGCGATGATGTCGGTTACTTGATCCATATTCATATCAGTGTTTGTTTCGCTTTGGTCTTTGATGACGCTTTCATTCAAATGCTGTTCATCCGGGTTTTCTGATGCCTTGACGTTGAAACGGTCAGCGAGCTTGTTTTCACCCGAATGTCGCAGTTTACCAATTTCACCAAACAGTGAGCCAAAGTATCCTGTTTAATGTGTGGCTCCGGTGACGGTACGAAATTTAAATTTCGAACGAACGAACGAGCTTTTTAACGAACTCGAACAATCGAAAATTGGTTTTTTTTATCTTGTTTGAATGTTCGAATGTTATCGAACATGTTTCGTTAAAATTATTTAAAAAAAAAATTGATTGCTATAGAATAAAAACAGCGTATGAAAAGGTTGCATTTCAAAGCGAAACACCGTCATACAAAATACAGCAAAAAATGTATGTAAAAACAACCTTTGGTGTGCGACCGTATCATACGCTGTATTTATTCTAGAGAATTCAATTCTTCCTCAATGAAGGAGGAGTTTTCAAAATTGGTGCGATTATGATCTGTCAAACATCTCACTTGACGTTTCTTCTGAACGTCAAATGAGATGCTTGACAGATCAGTTGTGATACAACATTAAACAGTGAACACACGTATTTGTTTAACCACACGTATATTGTAAAGCAAATTATGAAATTTTAAAATTAAACTTTTCCGGTAATAGGTAGGCAACATGGAGTTGCCAAATAGTAAATTATCCGTGTTCAGTAAGATGGTTTTAATTTCGAAATGTGAAAATGATAGAAGATCTCACTTTGGAAACCCGAGAGAGTGGGTTGAAGATAGCAAAACAATTGGGTCTAATACAGAAAGACTTGGCACCAGAAATGAGATTTCTCCCAGCTGTAAGCAACAAAGCATTGAGCACTATTACTCACATGGCTTTCTAACCATGGATCATGCTGACGGGACTATCAATCAAAAGCGATGCAAAAGACGATGAAGTGATTGATTTGGTCAATAAAGTAGGAAAAACACTTTGTCATAAATTGAAATAGATCAATATGACTTGGCTATTGTAAAAGGAATGCTGTCTTATTCCAAGGTGCTAGGAGTTAGCCTTAAGGCTGCTTTAGAGATAGCAGAAACAATATACACTCAGTTATTATCTGCATTCTTGGACAAAAGAATAACACAAGTTTGACATTTTTGACGGTTGGCAAATCTGTAACTAAGTGTGCGTGCACATTTAAAATACAAGCACTGTGTGCGACGCACATTGAATGTCAGTGTACACACTACTGTGTGCGTGCACTGACAGAATGAAAACTACAGCCCTGGTCAGTCTCATCAAAGAAACTATTGCAAAAGGAATCAAGTTATCTTCATGCGTGATCTGTTACTTGTATTGCTTTGCAGATCATATTTTCCTTATCGGTTTCGTTTCGAACTTAATTATTAAATTTTTAAAAACTGTTTCGATTTAATGACTGTTTCGACTTAATGCGATGTTTTTGATTTGAATAAAGTGTTATGGTCGAAAGAGACAACGACCAAAGCACCACCTTATATGGTTGTGGCTAACTAACTCATTCGTTTTGAAAAAAAAATTATGTAGTAAAATTATGACTACACAGCCCATTATGTTCAAGGCAAAAAAAATCAAACAGTTCAATTGATACAGAATGTGATCGTATGTATCGGCAATTCCATATGAAATCGTTTTTTCTTTCTTGCGCTCATACATTTTGAGTGAAGATAAAAAATCACATCAGTATATGTGTTATGTATTGCGGCACTTGCTGATACATGTATTTTACACATTTTTGGACTGTTCAGCAAATTCGCACTCGTAATCACTTTGCGTTCAAAGGCCCACAAATTTCATATATTTTGACAAAGGAAAGAAAATGCATAAATATCGATTTTAATTAGTCTGGATATTTGCAAATAGAGAATTCCCCCTCTTTCTTCCAAAATTTTTATCTAATAAGCATAAATGAGCAAGATCTTGAGCATTGTCAGCCACCAAATTTAATATGGACTTTCATTCTTTCGTTTTAATTCAATGAACACAGTCATATTTGAAAATCTAAATTCAAAGTAACAATAAAGTGAATTTCAAAAAAATGGAAAATTGTAAGTACAAAGTGATGTTAAGTAATAAGAAGAAGTGATGAGTGCATTTGAAAAAAATCATTTTAAAAATTAAATCATATTGAGACGAAAATTTAAGTTATTATTTTTTTATTTTAATTTTGAGTTGGTGCATCAACTTCATTATCATCATCATCAGATATGCCGATGAATGATTTAACGCAGAGCGTCGTGCAATAACCAGGTAGTGACATTCAAGTAACGTTAAAAAAATACTTTTAGATTATCGCAGTCCTTTTTTTTTGTTGCTATTTGAAGATGTTTTTGATATTGATGCTCCACCTACCCCCGATAATGTATTCGATGCAGGTGCAGGTGAGGCTTTTAATCAAGCCGCGGTGGAATCGTCTCTTGACGATCCACCAACACACGAAATTCAATTCACGCGTACCGCTCCTTCAAACAATGCTACAAGTGGTGTTGACAAAAATGAATACATCAAATTCGTTCAAAAACAAATGAACGACAAAACTATCACAGATGTCAAGGTTGGAGAGAGAGCCGATTTTTATGTACCGTAGAGTATCGATTAGAAATTGAACGAATTGAATTGGGAATCGAAAAAGAAACTCTCATAAAAGCTCATGACAACGAGATGAAACAGCGTGTACAAAAACGAAAAAAAAAAAATAGTTGGTATGAATTGCCGACTATGTTGCAATGAAGTGTCACCGTCGTTGAAGACCGTAATGCTTAAATGCAGTCATGTGTTTTATTCGTGATGCGTCGCAGAATTTTCGAATCCATTTATATTGAGCTACACATTGTTGATACAAAATGATAATCAATTCGATGATTAAATATCCATAAACGATTTTGTGCTGTTCTCAACAAATTTAAAAGTTATCGGTGTACGATTTCTTGAAACTCGAATGAAAGAAGAGAGCAAAACAACATGGAATATATAACAAAAGCACTTTCTTTTATCTGTACTGAAAGCAAATGCTTTTGCAATGAAAGCATTTCTTAATTTGAATCGAAAACAGTAGACATAAACATCCGTAGACAGTTGCTTTAAAACAACGATCGACATCAACTGTTTTATTTAATTTTTACAATGGAAAACATGCAGCGTGCGGTAAACATGGACCACCGTATACTCCAGAAAAACACAAGGAAATGTGGAACGAAATGAAAAATAAACGCCAATTGTGACATCAGCTACAATTTGCGATCTCTCTTTATTTTTATGTATAGGGATATAGATTTTTCCATTCGATGTTAAAACTATTCAGAGATATTCAACGAATTGTGATTCAATAAATTTAATCTCGAATTTCAAAAAGTGACTAATTTAGAAATTCAAAGAAAGAACAAGCGAAATTTTCATTCAGTATATTACAATTTATAAGATCTGAAAAATAGAGCATGAATTGTCTTTTATTCAAGATTCTTTACGGTATCATTTTCTTTATTATTTTAATGAAAAACATTAATACAACAAAATTGACGATTAAAGTTTATTGTATTTGTTCCATTGTTGATGATACTCATTCTGGATTCATGTGATGAATAAATTTGCGAAATTAACTGAAAATAAAAAAAAACACACATATTAAACAACATAATCACAATAAAATTAGTGTCACTAGGTCACATCGTTACATCGTTACTTAGTCGTTAGTGGCTTTCGGGGAGAAATTGTTAAATATATGAAAAATCCACTACGGTGAAGTCCAAAGACAAACGCTTTATAAATATGATGATAATTTTATGGAATAATCTGTTGAATGATCGATAATTGCGTGTTAAATGGAGGTGGTTGAGTAATTATGTGTATGTGGTCGGTGGAGGACACTACAGGTGGAATTTTTTTTTGTAAATATCAATATTATTTTTATTGTCTGATAACCGACATAATTCCACTATAAATATAAGACACTTAGTAAACAATCATAATTTGAAGAGGAAATTTTCGAAGAAAATATTTTATTTTTCGAAGGGGTTCATACCGACACAATTCCGACATAAATATAACACACATAGAAAGAAATAATATGTTGAGTAAAAATTCTCCTTTTCAAACTATTGTAAAAAAAACTTTTTCAATTTTTTTCGACAATTTTATTTTGTTTTCGCTTTTTTGTGATAGATCATAATCGACATAAATATAACACATATAAAAAATAATGATAATTTGAAGCACATATTTTTGAATAAATGATTTTTGTGGTAGCGACGTGGCGTACCGACATCTAAGTATTGTATATCATTTGAACCGACATAATTCCCATGCTTTTATTTTTCACGAATAGTTGTCGTTTCGGGAAATAAATAAATATTGAATAGCCTTGATTTTCTTCCTGTTGTAAATTTATAGTCAGTATACTTCAATGATTTTCAACAGAATGATTTATTTCAATATTCAAACTGACAACTCTTAATTTCTAAGTTTACTTGATAATTCTCAAATTACTTAATTTTATATTTCCAATATTTTCTCTTAATTTGGGCTTATACTTTTAATTTTTAACTAAAAAGTTCATAATGTTGTGTTACGGAATAAAACAACACCTAAAAGTGATTCCTTTCGACTAACTTTATTCAACATTTGCGATAGACTTATATACTAATTACATACGGAAGATGCTGTTAACTTAAAAGCAGACAAAACACTCTTTTGCTATGAAAGCGGAAAAGTATATGACATTGAGAGTAAACGACATTGACATAAAATAAACTGTTATGTTATGCTATGTTAGAATTACTTAGTAGTACTTATTTCGGCAATAATTTTATCGTTTAGTTTTATAATTAAATATCGAGTATCATCGATATGATTGCATTTGTGTGTCGTAATTCAAACGAACAAGACATATTTCTCCAAAGTAAAAGTACATTTCAAATACAATTTCGATTCGATTTATGGGACACAGTGAAATCTTGTAAATTGTGCGGCACGCATATATGTCGTGCACACGACGTTACTGATACTGATCCAGATGGAAGTGTTTTCACATTGCGTGAGGCGTGTGTAAATACAAGACGACGTCGGCCATTATACGCAAATTTCGCCATAGAATGTGAACGCTGTGGCTGTTATATTGGATATATAAATGCTGACGATATCATTCATATAACATTATACGAAAGTAATCGCACTGTTCAATCGAATGTAGTTTCATCATCGACACAGTAAAAAACACACTTGGAAAAACGGACCTTTTCAGGGCATATATATTTTTCCAAGCAATGTTTTTGTAATCAATTAGTCAGTATCGATTGGTTGAGCAAAATGCCGCGATCTAAAGGAGAGCCATAAAAAATTCAACAACGTCATGCAAATAACGTATTGCAGGAAATTCATCGTTATCAGAGATCAACAGATCTCTTGATACCACGATCCATTTTCCAACGCATTGTACGCGTGATGCTGTTTCGTTTCAACGTTTTTTCTATGCAAGTTGGTGCTTTGGAAGCATTACAAGTGAGTGTTTTCTTTTTGTTGTGATTTTTTGGTAAATTTTTTTATTTTATTTTTAATATGTTTTATCTGTTTTGTGAAAAGCAATCCACCGAATCCTACATCGTTGAACTGTTCTACGATGCTGCCATGATTGCGTCTCATGCCGGTCGAACTACAGTTTTGTTGGAGGATTTACTTCCTGCCAAACGCTTGCGAAATTGAAAAACAACAACAATATGTGATTTTTTAAAAGACACATTTATTACATTATACTTTGTAACTGGGTCATCGCCCATCAATGGAATGCGCCGAATTGGCACATTCCACATTGAACAACGACCTAATTACAGTTGGGTGTTTCGATCGCGCCATATCGCGCGATCGCCACACCCAATTGTCACATTGTAACCTCAATCGAATGCATACGATTGCGCGACTCAGCAGCGATCGCCCCACTCAATTGAAATGGGCCAAGACTGCCGACGACATCGTCAACAGTCTGCCTAATTAATATTTCATCAGAATAAAAGTTAGTTGCATATAACCACTTGAAGTAAGCGGTCGTTTTATTCCAACCTTTAGGCTTTTAATATTTCAACAGCTCCAAAGTAATACATTTGAAAGAAAATAAAAGAAAGGATCATATGTTGTTTTCAATGAACATATAAAATTGTGGATTTTTATTCAATTCTTATTCTTTTTCTTATTCTAATACATAATGTGGATATTTGAAATTGCATAAGCAATTGTAATGTATATTTTCTGGGGAATTCATCAATGACCAATATGATAAGTATTTTAGGGAATTTACTTGCATTGGGAGCGGTATTTTTTCAGAATAATCATGTGTTTTTGGATCGTTTAATCGTTTCAAATATTTTTCATATCGTTTGGTTCATTAATATTGATTTCATAGATCTTTAGAAAAATCGTTCACTTTCTTTTAATGTGACTTATAATAAGAGCGTTACGACAAATCGGTAAATCGAATTCAGATCGTATTTTCAAAATGTTGTAGTCATCTAATTCTAAGTGTGTCTTATATAGTATAATTTGCGGTAAATGATTATATTTTGTCAACCAATGTTTTACAATCGGTAAATTTGGATTGAGAGTAAAGTCTTCTTCAATAGACACAGTATTCGCTTATGATTTCGATAAATGATGTTTGGATTAAAGAGGTCATCTGCAGTGAGATTATGATAGGATGTTTTGATCTTTTTGGCAGATTTTTTGAAATATTCTTCTGAGACTAAAGGAATCCAAACATTATTTTCGTGTTTTGGGAGAGTCTTGGAAGGAGCAACAACCATCGCGTGTTCCAGTTGAAAGACACATACGGTGACACCATCGACATTGTGGACACAAATATCCCAGCCCTGTCGCAAGCGAAGGAAATGGTAAATGCGCATAAAAGAGTGTGTAGTGTGGAAAAAACTGTGAATCAAGTTTTTGCTTTCAAAATCGATTGAATAGACTTTGGAATAAAATAATAATATCGAGAATTTTTTTTTATCTACGTTGAGAATTTAATTCGATTAAAAAGACTCTGTATTTTAAAAGTAAAGACATACATATTTGGTGTTTTTTTTTGTGTAAAAGTATATACAAAATGAATAGTAGAGACTTTAAAGTTGAAAAACCTACGGGGAAGCGAAAACTTCCATGATTGGTCGTTTGCCATGGAAAATTATCTGGCAATGCTCAATTATGCGGATACTATAATTGAGGATGCAGAAACTCCAACAATTGCAAAAGAAAAAAATGTGATAAATTGAATGGAGCAAAGGCTGTGTTGGTGCTTAACATTGAAGCGAATTTTTACCCACATGACCGATTGGACAAACAGTTTTGAATACTGAAAAAATGCGAATTCCAGTTGAGAAAATTTTTCACGTGCCGAACCATCATCCAGATGATTTTAATTTGAATCGCTGCATTTCTCAAACCACTAAGTTTCTGGGTGAAACAGATGTGATTTAATTATTATTTCCTCCAAAACGTGCAATGATATTGGGTAAATTTAAAGATCTAGACAAAAATATTGTCCATCCTGAAATGTCTCTTGCTCAATGAGAAACAAATATTTGGCAGAATTTGCGGAATAATGGAAAAGTCACGAAAGGACAAGTACTGGTTCCAATTTATGGCATAGATAACGAAATATCGCGTTTCCCGTAAAATGATCGCAATTGAAATTTGAATGAATTTCAACTTGAAACTTTCAAGGGGGTTTATACTGACTGGAAGAACACTACCTGGTATACTACCCGGGTATAGATAGGTCTTTTTTAAATTATGACATTTACGGTACATATTTTTGAATGCACGCTGAAGGGTGTCCTCTCACCGGCCAAAAGCCGAATGAATCAATTTAAATATTATTCAGCAATTGCCAATGGCGTACCAGCCATTAAAAATCACATTGATGAATTCATCGTTACATACCAGGAATCTGTAATGAAACCCTACGAAGATGTGGCATCGTTGTTCGATTATAATAATACATACATTGTAATAATTATTACAATGAGACTTTATCCATTGTCTATGATACAGCTGCTAATTTGATGCGTGAAGCGAATGAACTTCTTGAAAAAATACGAATGATGAAAATATTGGATGGATTAATAATCGATTTATCGTATAGTATTCAATCAGATACTGTCGGTTTCAAAATGATTACACAAGACGGTGCAATTGTTTATTGTAAAATCAATAAACACTCATCGTTCAACACTTTTATGAAGGCTTTTTGTGATCATATTGTAAGTTTTTTCGTACAATCCAACAAATATAAGTTGTTATTGCATTAAACTTCGTACTTTTGTAAAATCGGGTCACTGTCCATTGGTCGAATGTGCCGAATTGGCACATTCCACTATGGACAACGACCTAATTACGGTTGAGTACAGCGATCGCGCGATATCGCGCATCGTCGACAGTCTGTCTAATTAATAATCAAAGATAATAAAAGTCAGTTGTAAACCAGCGCTCAACAAAACCGGTTGTCTTTCATTTTAACCCGTCTCGTCCATTAGCTTAAGGTAATATTGTTATCATTTTTTTAAATTTAGGATCATACCACGCAAGCATTTTACTTCGATTTTAATGGACAAAACATCGCTGATCATACACCGGCTTCTTTAGGTGTGAAATATGACGACGAAATCAAAGTTTATGAAGATGACGTTCCTTTATAAAATTGGTTTATTTATTGAAAAAAAAAAAAACTGCGTAGTTTCAAAAAACTGAAAAAAAATTATGGTTTAAAAATAAATTATGTTCCACATAATTCAATTTCATTTCGCTTGCAAAGTAATTTCGGCTGGTCGACAAAAAACCATAAGTTGGAATGGAAATTCGTCAAATATGTGCGAATTTGATGTTGTAGATGCAGATTCGGTTGTTCTAGGGGTACCGCGTTCAATGGTATTTGAAGTAGGTGGGAAATAATATTCTGATCTATTTTTTCTGTAGATATTACTCATTCTTTTGGCCATCGTTGGCACCAGCTGTCACCAAGATTGATCAACCACCATCTGCTGCTGGTGTCTCATCATCAGTTGTTTCAAGCCTCACGCCTTCTGATTTTAATGTTGGGGCTACCGTATTTCAATAGTTAATACCGGTAATGTCTTGTTACAATAGCAATGTGTTACCCGTATTGTTAAAAAAGTTTGACATATTTGGCGGTTGGCAAATTTGTAACTAAGTATGCGTGCACATTCAAAATACAAGCACTGTGTGCGACTCACATTGAATCTGAGTGTGCACACTACTGTGTGCGCCCAGCCCGCACAAATCGCATATTCGTGACCATTTGAAGAAGATTTGTTTCGTATGGAGAATATTTTCTAATAAGGGTCACGAGTGACGAAAAGGCGGGGCTTAGAGCCTTATAAGAAGATTTGAAAAATGGTCGGAAAATGATCATGAAATGGTCACAAGGAAAAATTAGGGTTCTACGTATTTTTAACTTTGTGGAAATTGTAAGACAATTATAAATAAAATAAGATTGTATTCAATTGTTGTGAGTGATAATAGTAAGTAAATTATTATTTTTTCACATTTCATTGCTTTTGTCACCCAAACTTTTTCAAAACGTTATGAATATGTTCAAAAATATTAAATCTTTTTATTTATAACATCACCGTGACAAAGGTTTGTAAATATACTATTTATTTCTAATTGTAACTGAAATATTTCTAAGAACATTTTTTCTTATTTTATACCGATGCTTAGACACATATTTGGATGCAATGGAAGATTCATGGTAAAATTGCATGTTCCACCCCCTCTGATTTTCACGCGATCCCGGAAAAATGAAGTTTTATGAAAATGTTAGAAAATTCGGAAAATTTAAGAAATATTATTTTCTCTCTTATCTTCAAAATTTCATATGAGCTCAATTATTAGTGCCACTTTATTACAATATATACGACAATTTGTAAGAAAAAACGTGTATTTCACGTGAAAATGCATTTGCCACATTTTTGAAGCGAGTCCATTCTCTCAAGGAAAATATGGCCGAAATATGGATTCGCCACAAACATTTTCTTGGTGACTTTTATAGGAATTAGAAATAATTCATAGTAAATTCATCATAAAATACATTTAAAAAGTTTAGTGACTATTTTAGGAAGAATTATGTCATGTAAACAAAAAAATGCATCAAAAACAATCATTTGTCGGCGTACGTAAGGAAGTGAACGTTGTGTTGCATTTTATTTTCGAAAATGTCGCTTGATTTCTTATTAAAACGTTGGAACATTCTTTTGTCCGTCATCTTGGAAGAAATGTATTCGGAACCTAGTATTCAAAATGACGAGTTCTTTACATTTAAGTAAATATATTTCGTATACGGTTGCGTTTACATACAAAATTAACATAGCATTTATATCAGTTGGCCGTTAAACATCAACTTTACCAACCCAAGACAAGTTTTGCCGTTGTTTTTGGAGCGTCTTAAACTTTGCCGTGATCGTCAAGGTTGTTTGTAAATCATTCCAACAGAAAAAATGGACCGGTGGACATTAATCTTTGAATTGATTAAGCGCGACATAATTTTGGTTCTACGCTACTTGGGCGAAGCATAAAGAAATATGTACTCCGAATATACTTAAAAGCTCACGCTTACTTTTTAAACAACATTTGAAATGTGAAAAATGTGTATTTCCTTTAAAATGTCACAAATACTTTTCAAATAACATTTGATATGT